ATAAAAGAGAATAGGAAAGAATTTAAAATAAGAATGAAAAGGAATTAAAGGAAATAAAATGAAAACTTAAAAAAAATCTTATAAAATCATATACATTGTGAAAACAAAAGGCATAAACAAAACCAAGGAAATCTTCACAATTACCTGAAAGTAATGTAACTGAAATGGAGAAATATCTGTCCAAGATTTCTAATTCTGGGAAGCTAAGGCTTTGTGTGGTTTGGGGGATGCAAGTATTGTCCATCAGTTTCTTTATCTGTTCTAGCTCAAAAAGGCCTTCAGTGACATTGGTGTGATCAAGTGGATCTCCTCTGCTCCTTGCTCCCCAACTCCTCCCAGATAATGCTGAGGGAACTTTGAAAGTTACAAAGGAAATTACTCTCAGTATTTGATTTTGTACTCAGAGAGATGGGTCTATGGATGTAGAAATTGCCTGATAAACCCAGTAATCCATGAAGGCTGGGGACTAATCTGTAATGCAGACCCCAATTATGGAATTTCTTACACAGTGGTATTTTTTTAAGAGAGAGAGAGAGAGAGAGAGAGAGAGAGAGAGAGAGAGAGAGAGAGACAAGAGAGAGAGGGAGAATTTTTTTAATATTTATTTGTTAGTTTTCGGTGGACACAACATCTTTGTTTGTATGTGGTGCTGAGGGTCGAACAGGGGCCGCACGCATTCCAGGCGAGCGCGCACCCCTTGAGCCACATCCCCAGCCCAACTCAATGGTCTTGTACTGTGCATGATTCCAAGTCACTGAGGCCTTTTCCTATAATCTCTTGGAGCATGAGAGACATGGCCTGGTTTCAGAATCTGTGACTTCTTCTGAGAACTCAGTGAAAATACCATTCTCTCTGATTATGCTCTAGCACTTCTGGAGTCTTCTGTCCCTTGAATTCTCAACTAGCAGTTCTTGCTCACTATCATTATTCCCAAAGCACCAGTTTGAAAGAGGCCGTGCCTCTGTGAACCTCTACTCTACAGAACGTCCACAGCAGCAACACACCTCTTCCTGATGAGAGCTTTCAGCACATGCCTGCCACTCACTATCCTGAGCCCATATGATGAGTAACCAACTAAAGTTGTGGGAGGATACCTGGCGACTGAATCATGGAGGTGTAAGGGATGCAGTGTTTCGTGATGAGACACCACTGAGAGCCCATGTACTCAGGGCAATATTGTAATTCTTAAGAGGGTGCCTTTGACTGCCTGTGTAATGTTAATAGGGGTGTAGGTATTCTAAATTATTCTCAGTAGAGTGGGTTGACCATGCCTAGTATTCATTTCATGTTTATGGTACTGCAGGCTGCCCTTTGTCTATCAGATTTAGCCTTGGCCCTTGCTGTCACAGAGCTGCAAGCACCATATGATGCATGACAGTGCCATGAACTACTATTCTTAACATAGACTACAGGTGCCAGCTCTCTCAGCAGCTCTATGTCTGGGTTTCTCTCCTGCTCCCACCTTGATTATGGTTATGGGTACCTCCAAACCACATTTTTATGCCAAGTTCAGTCTTTGAAAAGTTAGGAAAAAACTGGGTAATATTTTTCGGATATCCCAGGAAGAAAGTCGCGATAAAGTAACAGGAGTGGAGAGGCTCCTAAACACACGCTCAGATTCTGCCTGGAAGGTTTGGATTGCATCAAATATTCCTTGACATTGCGGGGAAAATGAAGTCTTTCCTTTGCTGAAAAGGTTCTATTTGGCCTTAGAATAATAAGTTTCCTACTTGTTTGCTTTAAAATATCATCCTTGTATAAACTTAAGGGATTTTGATGTTACAGGTTTTATATTCTAGAAATTTTTAGGGCAGTGTTTTTATATGCTATATGAGGACTCATTTTGACATGATGGTGTATCATGAAAAACTAGTTTGCTCAAATTCAGTGCCAAGTTTCTAGGTGTTTATTTATCCATTTTTTGTGTTAAGGTGCATCTGGGCTCATTTCATATCTTTCTAATTGTGATAGAAACCACTGTAAACATTGAAGTTCCAGTGTCTCATGTGTATATAGAATCATTGTAAATTGGGTATAAGAACAAGGATTGGGAACCCTGGGCACAGGATGTTCATATTCCTTATCTTCTGATGACTCTCCATACTGCTTTTCACATGGGAAGTCCTGATTTTCAGTCCCACAGTGTACGGTTGTACATTTTTACCCACATCCTCTCCAGCACTTATTATTTAAAGTCTTCATGAATGCCTCTCTGGATGGCATGAGCTGAAATATCAATGGAGTTTGGGAGGGTATTTCCCTGAATGCTAGATGTATTTTATGTATTTATAGTGAACTTGTATTTGTTGTTTTGAGAACTGTCTATCTCTTGCTTTTCTCCATTTCCTAATTGGATGGGTGAGATTCTCCTCAGCTCACCAGTGAGAATATTCCTCTCTCATAGCCAGCTAGTTTTCCCTACGCCAGCTTTATCCTATTTCTTCTATGAATGCATTTCCTCTTTGAGAATCTTAATATTTCTTGGTTTCATCTGGTCACAGGCTCTCCATTGTGTCACTCCTGTGTTTTCCCACAGCCTGTCTTTTTCTTCAAGCAGCAATGCACCAGTTCAAATGACTCCCACCTCTGCAAATAGTCAGCTTTTCAGAGATGGGAGTCACCTTTCTCTTTTGAAATACCTCTTAGTTTCTTCTCCAATGAAAGTGTTGCATACTTTACCCAAGTGTGTGTGCTGTTATGTTCATGTTACATACAGACACATTTCCTCACTATATTTTACTTTTTTAAAATAAGTTTTGACTCGGTAAATATTTTGCTGAAATGCATTAAGTTTTCGAAGTCTCTGATGAATAAATGAAGCAAGTACAACAGTTTATCATTCCTACACAAGGTGACAGAATTGAAACTGTCATCTTACCAAGTATCATTCTTTCAGAATAAAAAATTGGCCATTCAAATTTAAAATGCTATGGAACACCAAGTGCCATTCTTAAAAGTCTTTCAAAGCATTTTTAGAACTGCTGGGCAGTGCAAAGTTGACTGATTATATACTGATGCTAGTTGTTTGGGGTATATGCTTGTCAGTGTGTATATTCGGAGGGAACACAGTTCCTATGTCCCTCATCTTGGCTTTATCCAATCAGTAGCCAGAATGATATATGAGCTCAGTTAATCTGAACTGCCTAGGACAGTGAAACTTGTACAATATATTCTTGTTCAAAATGCACTCATCTAATTTCTAATTCTGATGATTTCACAAATATATATATATATGGTGATAAGTAATATGTGATGATTAAAACTTCATGCAACTTATTATTGGTATTACTTTCCCCAGAGTGTCTGTAAGCAACCTACAGAAGTTTGTGCTTCCAGTATATCTGTTGGGTCCTATACACAAGCAAAGAATAGAACAAAGGAACATGGAGAAGGTAAGAATGACAAAAAATGCAAAAGACATTGGTGAGCGTATTGCTTTAAAGCAAGAGCACTAAAATATTGTAATTGTTCCAAGAGTGTATGTATTATCTAGTAAGGAAAAAGAAATATAATGAGTCATATTGTATTAGGTTTCTGTCACAGGTTAAACTGGGGATATTGCTAAAAAAATCTGAATTATGAGTTGCATTTTGAGACATGCTTCAATCAAAGTAAAATAGAAATGAAAGAGAAGAAGAGGATATGAACACTGAGACAGGCATTAATTACAGGGAGTCAATGAAGGAAGAGGTAGCAGTTGTACTCAGTGGAAGGAAGGACTCTCAGTTACATAAGAGGGGGGGAAAGAGCAGCATTTTCAAAATTTGGGAAGCATTTTTGAGTTTCCAGGTCCAAAGCTGAATGAAGTGTAAAGTAAAAATTTTCCAACATTCCTGACTTAGTCACAGTTGGAATGGAATAAAATTGAGGAGTGAAGAAGGAATTCCCACATCGTCAAGTTTGTTTATCACAAAAGATTCTTCATGTATAAAATCTAATGACACCAAATGTGTTGCTACTCTGTACAAAAAATGTATAGGGTAGAAACACCAATTAGGAAAGTGGAAAGAAATAGAAATGGTTACAGAGTGGTCCCCAAATTCACAGATATCTAAAACTAAATTTGGAAACATAATAGCTTGACTGAACTTTCATTTGAGGGTAACATCCTAGGGAGAAACCCAGAGCTACATTCAAGTTAAGGTAGAGGCAATGGATTCCAACAAAATTTATACTAGATCTCAAACTATAATGAATCATCTGTTGAGGCCATGATCAGAAGCTCATTGTGACTCAGAAGTTCTTTCCTTCTCCATTTCCTATAGATTCTAAGGTGATTGCAATGATCCTGGTATGCCCACAGCATTTTTTGTAGCCAGGCAAAGAATGTCGCTGTGGGACAAAAAAAAAAAAAAAAAACACTAGTAGACCCTACAAACCAAGATAGAAGAAGATCAAGTGCCAGAATAAATGTTGCAATAATTATGTGCATATTTCTTAGGTAGTGGGGATAACACAAAAGACAAAAATTTAAAAATTACATTTCTAACATAAAATTGCTACATTGCCAGGAAGGAAGGAGTTCGAATAACCCATACAAAAAAACAGAAAATGGAAATAAAATAGTCTCCTGCTCTAGAGGGTTTTATGAAAAACTAGGAGAGAGGCAAAATGAGGAAGAAAATAAAGAAGTCAGCAAGGAAATTTTAGAGGGGAAAATGATAAAATGCAATTCAGCATTTTTCAGTGTGCCTGCCTTCAAACCAAAAGTGGGATGATTCCTGGTCCCCAGGTGATTGAAACAAGTAGGGACTGGAAAAATCAGGGCAACCTGCTGTACAAATCTGTCCTGCACACCCACCAGGCCCCACCATGTGTGTGGCATCCTAAGAGTGATTTAGATCAGTGACCAAGTGTTTTTGAAAATTTGTTTTTTTCAAAGATAGTTTTATTTTTGATTATTATTATTATTATTATTATTATTATTATTATTTTGGTTCTTTGGAATGAAACCTTGTCCCTTTGTGCTACAGGAATACATTCCACTCCTGTGCTAAATTCTGATAACTAACTTTTGGATCGGCCAGCACACTCAAAAAAATATGTGAAATCATGACTGTATGTGTTATGGCAGACTCATTTTTAAACTAGAATTCCTTATGGAATTTATTCCTCAAATACTAAGAGTGTTACTAATGTGTTTATGTGACAGTCTTTTGAGTCCTGTCAATTCTGCCTGCTTTCAGATCACAGATTGCTGTGGATGACCATATCTAAATTCTTTATGCTTTCTCATATTTTTTAAGATGCAGGACCTGTATCTTCGTACACGGGTGAAAAGGGTAACCCGATATCCACTAAAACAGAGGAAGCAGGATTAGAAGATGTGCCACGGTCCCAGATGGGTATGAAAAAACAATCATGTTCATATTAGCTGTTATTCTAAATGCATATATCTGATCCTATTAGTTCAGAAAAAAAAATAACTGATAAGAAATAAAGTATACCTTGTCCTGGATCTTGAGGTACAGGATACTTAGGTATAATAAAATGGATTAAACAATTCGTAGGTCACTTGACATATGTGCTGCCATCTGACTACTTCAGCTTTGACATTGAAATTCTCTGTATTCGTCTTTCTCTGAATACAGATCTCTGTGGTCTCCAGCATTCTGCGTCTTCACATTTGTATATGTACCCTTGCCAAATTATTTATAATGATCACATAGGTGTTCTTACCTTTTGAAACGTAACTGCAAGACTTATTTACTAAAGATATATTGTCAATATTCATTTAGAACATTTCAGTCTTGTGATCAACAAAAATCCCCAAACTTAAAACTCCAAAGCTAATGTAATCTTTATCAATGCTAATAAAAATAGTTATCATTGGACTGAGCTCTGTACTCACTTAGTAGGAATATGAGTGTGTTTTCTTTTTATGTTCAGATTTTATTGATTATGTATTTCATTTGCTTTTCAGTATCTAAAGACGTACATGCTTTATACAAGGTAAATCATCTTCTATGTTTATGTTATATTATTAAATGCATGCTGTATGCACTGTAAAATATTTACGTATTATCTTGTCTCCAAGCACATCAAGCCTACCATTAAAAGCAAAGATACAGCTCTCAAAAAACAAAAATGGTGGAAGCAAAAAATAAAACGGAAATCAGGTAACTTTTGCAGTACAACTTCTATAAAACTACCTATGATTAAACCTTGGAAATGATAGCAAACTTTTCACTCCTGATATATCCATTTGTGCCATGTGTTGGGAGGATTTGCCCCATCAGGTCTGTGTTGGTGGTGCATCCACATTTCAAAATATTTCTGTAAATCTATGAGGAAAAGATGTTTTAAAATAACCTATATCCTAGGTGTTTCTACAATTAAACTTCCCAAATCGGAGTCATGACACTTGTCAGTTGGATTGTGAGGCTGATTTTTCTTCCCAACCCAATTTTAAAAGTAGGTCCAGGGGAGCAGGATTGAAATCCAGAATCCTGAGATGATGAGGACTTGTATTTTCTTGGGGCCAAGATGTCAAGGCCGGTCTGTGAAATACAAGAAAATCTAATTTAAAAGACAATGTGCACTCTACCCTGACATCTAGTGTATCAACCAAATGCATCAAACTTGTTTTTATGCTAATTAGGTACTGACTTTGACAACTCTTGTGGTCAGTTTGAGGCAAGAAATAATAAAAGGAATGATCACATATACTTTAGTTTATCCCTTGCTTCTAAAGTGAACATTTGCTGGTGAACACTCTTTCCTGAAATTTTATCTCAGAGTAATCAATCTATAAATTCTTCCACATCCCAATGGAGTCTTTGCTCATTATTCTTTGACTTGTTGTTTGTCTGTTACCTCTGTATGGTAAAAACAGAACCCAGATCCTTTTGAAGACATTCCTTCATTCAGTCCTGCATCAACCCCATAGTGCACTTTTGCATTTTCTTTATTCATCTCCATTCATGATCATGCCCCTGAAGCTCATGTGCCCACAGATTTGAGATAGTTCCAGCTATATATATGGATACATGGCCTAGATGAAAGTGTTAGCTCTGTGTATGTCCAACCATCTCAACATTTCGAGGCATCTTTCACAATGCAAATTCTTCCTAACTGTATGTTTAGCCCGTTTCTACCTGCATGATCTTCTGGCAGTTTTCACCAATCCCTGTATCATCAGACATATACCGTCCCCCTTAACCCTTGTCTCTATGTCATGCTATAGCCTTCCACATTTTCACCATTCTCTGCCTCTGGCTGATGGCCTCACTCCTCTAGTCTCCGTTCATCCCTACCTCGAGAAAAGACACCATCCACGCCAAGTGTTATTGCCTCAGGCACTTACCTGACACTCAATTATGGGGTGTTCAAACCTGTGTGTTTTAAGAACATCTCCTGTAGTCCAGGACCTAGTGAACTAGACAGAGAATGAATAACTTACAGGCCAACTGATTATTACTCAGTACAATTGCGGGTCATGGTCTGAGGTAACTAACGCCAGAGAAGCAAAAACAGTTTGTGTCAGGAATAATTGGCACCATGAGTAATGCTTCCAAAAACAGAGTGAATCCTAACAGAAGAAATGCAGGTAAAGGAAAGGAAAGGAATATGTGGTTCACTGTCAAAGGTTTCACAGTGATCATATATACACATACTTTTTTGTTGACACCGAAGTTACATGCAGTGGTTCATTAAAAATTACTATTAGGAAAAAGATGTAGTAAACAGTGTTAAGTTTCTTCTTTCCATTGTAATTTTGGCATTTTTTTCTGCAAAATATCATTTTTCTTTGAGTGGTTGAATCTTTGAGATATCATGTGCATTGAATATGGTGAACTCTTGTTTTTTTGATGCATTAGATTAGTAAAAATCCCTGCTAAATCACTCAATACACCCTGGGTGAAGAGGGACTCATCTGTAATTTCAGCTTAGTTAGAGACTGAGACAGGCTGATGTCAGGTTCCCAGTGAGCCAGGGAATATTCAGACACTCTGTCTTCAAAAATAAATAAATAAATAAAAAAATAAAGGCCTTTTATTTGAAGTAAGTACTTGCGTTCTTGCCAAGGATACACATGGCCCTGGGTACAGCCACCAAGCTGACACAAGAATCCAAAAATTTCCAACAGCATAAACATTCACCTAAAATTAAACTTAACTAAAATGTATCATTGTGAAAATCAAATTGTATGATTATTACAATTATATTTTTAGTTGGCTAGATTTTCACTCAGTCTAACTCTTTTAAGTAGTTTAAAGAAGTACATCTATGCATTTATCCCCAGATTCACTTTGCCATATGTCATCAGAGGAATTGAAGGAGAGGGTTGATGGCAAGGAAAAAAGCCATGGACAGGTAAGTAAATGTGTCAATTTAAATTCATGGTCTATTTCTCTTCTTTGATGGGAAGGAAGATTATGCCAAACAAAATGACATCACACAATACATACTTAGAAATCAAGGTCATAATTTAATATTTAAGTCTAAAAATGTAACACAACATGAACATGAAAATAGCTTTAGAAATCATGTAAGCAGAAGCTTAAAAGTAACCTTCATCTTAGTAATGTGGGGAGATTTTTTTGATTATTGTTTCAATTTTCTTCTGTGTGACCTCCTCACATAATGAGGATTAAATCTAAGCCTCGGAAAGATCCAGTTGAAAGTTGGAGAGTATATAATTGAAATGGCCAGTGAACACATTCATGTTAAAGATCATCATTCCCAAAGGCTCAAAATTTTAGTTTCCCATTACCAGTAATCCATGCTGGTATTAAAGAATCCAATCTCCCTACACACCCCAGTATGTAGGCTTAGGCAGGAAATAGACTTAAAGGAGAAACCAAACAGCCTATTATAGAATCAGGTCCTTTCAGGATGTATCCATCAATCCTGTTTGAGTACGAACAAAAACCTTTAGTTCCTTTACTTTTCATGCAAGAAATCAAGAAAATTACTAAACATTTTTATTCCACCTCTGAAGTGGACATTAGTAAAAAGAACTTGGATGCAGTTACTGGGAAGTTGCAAAATTTTTGTGGTATCATAATGCCCTATATTTTAGGAGGAGAATTTGCAAGCATTTTAGTTCAGCTGTTATGTATGTGTGCTTTTAGTGTACAGATTTTTCTTTGGGATGTGTTTGGGTCAGGCCATCATGTTCAGAATCAAATTCCCAAATGAACATATTTAACATACAATATTTACTCACCAGTATCTCATCAAGGAGAAAGATGACCCTTTAGGAACAATCATAGCTTTAAGCAAAACATGCATATAAATAAACTGTATATTTAATGTGGTTTTTATAATACTTAGTAATTAATTGAAGTTCATAGGAAGTAAGAATACTCATAAGACTAGAAAAAAGTGATTAGTGACAATAAAATTATCATGATAAATTTTAAAAAGAACAGATAATGAAAGTGGTTATAGTAAGCAGAGATTGAAGATGAAATGAGGATGAAATTCAATATTAATGAGAATAGGAAAGAATGTAAAATAAGAATAAAAATGTAATAAAGGAAATAAAATGAAAACTGAAAAAAAAGTCTTAGAAAATCATATATATTGTGAAAAAAAAAGGCACAAACAAACTAATGAAAATCTTCACAATTCCCGTAAACTAATATAACTGAAATGGATACACTTCTGTCCAGGATTTCTAATTTTGGAAAGCTAAAGCTTTTTATGGTTTGGAGGATGCAAATATTGTCCATCAGTTTCTTTATCTGCTCTAGCTCAAAAAGGCCTTCCCTGACATTGGTGTGATCAAGTGGATCTCCTCTGCTCCTTGCTCCCCAACTCCTCCCAGATAATGCTGAGGGAACTTTAAAAGTTACAAAGGAAATTACTCTTCAGTATTTGATTTTGTACTCAGAGGCATGGGTCTATGGATGTAGAAATTGCCTGATAAACCCAGTGATCCATGAAGGCTGGGGTCTAATCTGTAATGTAGACCCCAATTATGGAATTTCTTACACAGTGGTCTTTTTTTAAGAGAGTGTGTGTGAGAGAGAGAGAGAGAGAGAGAGAGTGA